CAGCTCAGGCACAGGGAAGGGCTCAGGGTCCACATGGAAGCAGCTGTGGGACTTCCATTCCTGGGCTCCACAACCTCTGCCAAAGAGTCACTGGAACAATAAAAACAACAGGGAGGAGGACAGCAAAACCTGGCCTGCACAGAAATGGCTCCCAAGCCCCAAAAAAGCACTGATCAGATGTCTTGAAATCCTCCTTCCAAGGCATTTTGCCCAGCTATCAACATGGAATTTACACAACAGCGATAATGTCACGCTGCAGAAAACAAAATGTCATTTCCCAAGCAGCGATGAACTGGTATTTGGAGCCTCCTCTGATACAGGGAAAATGAATGACAATTTCCCTGGGAGCAGAAGCCCCCAGGCTCCTTCCCCTGCTGCTTTGGAGGTGGATTACACTGATTTATGGATGAACAGAGCATCTTTACCTCCTGCAAACGGCTCTGCCCCTCAGGAGCTGTTCCACAGAGTCAGAGCTGAGCCCGTCCCATTGACAGGGATCAGGCACTGAGCACATCTCAATGAACCTCACAGCATCAAACTGTGTTCCTGGGACAGAAATTCCTGAATTATTAACAAACCAAGCTACAGGAATGGAACACACTTCCATGCAAGCTGCTACAAAAGCGCAGCTGAACTACAGGTAGGAGCACTTAACATTAACGACATTTAACACCCAACCTATGCTTCCAAAGGGAAAATCACTCTGCAGAGAGGATCTTGCACTGGCAATATCCTTCCCCTGACTTCCCAGCAGAGGAAAAGGCCGTGGGGCTGTCAGCAGGCAGCACAAAGCCTCCCTTGGGATCACTCTAGACGTGTGGTGCTGGGAGAGCTCCTCAGGCATCCCCCCAGGGCTGGCAGATGTGACAGGGACCCCTGGGAGCTGCTTTGCTCCCTCCTGGAGCTGCAGCTGGAGGCTACACAAACACCCAGGGGCACCTCCAGCAGCTCTGCACATCTGAGCCGAGCCTGTGTGATCCCAGCTTTGACCTCTGCTTCTCCTCTGGAGCACACATCAAACACAACCACCACAGGCTGGGCTTCCACCAGCCCATTGCCCCACAAATGTCTCACCAGGGCAGAGCACTGGGGCTGCACCCACATTTTCAGCTGTGGTTAAAACAATTTCAGACCTTCTCACTGTGAATTCGCTGTTCAACAGAGGTTTCTGTCCCCAAAAGCACCGGGGCAAGGCTGAGCTGGGACTCACCCAGGGATAACCACAGGTGCAAAGATTGCAGGAGGTCTGTGAGTGATTTATTAAAAAAATATGGATATTGATCTAGTATTGATATCCAACTGTGACGGGCAAAAACTCTCTAGCAGTTTAAAGTTAGAAAGTGTGTGATTATTGTGTGTGGGATCGCTCCCAAATCCACACCGCACCTTCCAGGTGATTACAGAGTCTTTTTATCCATACAAGCATTGAATACACAAAATACAAATCCATATTCATCATTTTGTACATCCCATTCCCTACTTCATATGCTAATCACTCCAAAAGCCATTCAGCATGCGTGGTTTGTCCCTTGAAATGGGTGGGTGGTCCCTTTCATGGGGAGGGGTCCCAAAATGAGGAAGTAAATGAAGTCTTCCTCGTTCTGACTTTTCTACCTTTTCAATGCAAATATGACAAATGAGCTCTTGGTAGAACTCCCATTCCTTGTCTTCAATTGGTTTCAGAACAGAGGAGGCCACAATTGTCTTATGTTCCTAAAAGCTCTTTGTCAATTTATATTCTTCATTATAAACCCAGCTAACCAAACATTGTGCTGACAAGCAATCAATTATTAGTTAACTACTGACTCTTAACTTCATCAAGGCCTACTCATTTATTATTCTTATTTTAATTAACTCTAGTAAGGCTTATTTCTAACTAAAATCTTAGCTCCTCAAAATCTCTAAATGCCTTAAAGTTTACGTTTCAGTCAGTGCTGGGGCTGGCCTGGGTGGCTGCCACCCCTCCTGTCCCTCCAGCCCGGGAGCAGCACTGTGGCCCTTTCCTCCCTTGTCCAAGTGCCCAGAAAAGAGCCCAGCTCCCTGCCAGCCTCTGCCAGCCCCTTCCAGCCCCTTCCAGCCCCCTTCCATCCCCTTCCAGCCCCCTGCCATCCTCTGCCAGCCCCCTGCCACCCCCTGCCACCCCCTTCCAGCCCCTTGCCACCCCCTGCCACCCCCTTCCAGCCCCTTCCAGCCCCCTGCCAGCCCCTGCCAGCCCCCTGCCAGCCCCTGCCAGCCCCTGCCAGCTGCAGGACAAACACTCCAGCCCCGTTTCCGCAGCCGAGGTCAGGCTGGCAGCGAGGGGACAGCAGGGACACCCAGCAGAGCCAGGCTGGGACAGCCACCACCGTGCCCTGGCAGCAAATCCCACACGGCTCCCCGTGCAGAAATGCAGATTTCCCTCTTTTCCACCCTTTCCCAAGGTCTGATTTCCCAGCTTGGTGGGTTTTCCCTTTACTGATGCAACTGTTCTCGTCCCTGCACAGGTAATTCTGAGCTGATTTTATTGACCTACAAAAATTCCAAATTGTGGTTAAGACAAATCATTATATCCCTCTCCCTCCCCCCCCATATTCTATTGCTGGAAAAAAGAAGCTATCTCACTCAGACTGGAGTAATCCACTGGATTTAATGTTTTGTTGTTTTTTTTTTTTCCAAACCCAGAGAATGTCACCACAAATCCAAAATCCATCCAGCATTTTTTTGTCTCAAAGTCTCTCCTGGATGTTTATTTCAAAATGGTCTAAATTAAGCCAAAGCAAGAGCATTTCAAAGCAATGCAGATATTGTTTCTTCAAAAGGAAAAACTGTTATTCCAAAACCACCCACAGCCAGAACAGAGCTGGGACAGACCCCACAACCAGCAACAAACGCTCAGCTTCAATCCAAATGTGCACTTTGTACACAATGAAAGTGAAAACAAAAAGCAGGAATAGAAACAGCTCCATTACTTGGGATTTTCAGAATGAATCCAGCACTGGGATTGGAATATTGTGGACACTGCTCATTAACAGGGATTTCCTGGGTGGGCAGAAGCCCCAGGATTGCCTTGAGGCAGCAGCTTCACACAGATCATTAACTGGGAAATAACACAAAATTAAGGAGCAACAGGTGGGAGCCTGCTGTAAGTCCTTCATAGGAATTTGCTGTAGTTTGGGAAGAGAGCAGTGAGAAGGATTTTCCCTGCTCTCACTGGGGAAAGGCTGTTCCTAAAGCACCACACGGGGTTAAATGTCACCCATTTGGGACACTGAGCAGAGCAACCAAAGTTCTGGGGGTGCTGAGTGGCCCGTGGCCACCAGCCCTGACTGTCCCCAGGCTCCAAAGTCTCTCCTCATCCTGGTTTCCACCCAGCTTCCCAGGCACACTCAGCTCAGCCTCTGCCCTCCGCTGTGACTTTCTCCAGGCTGGTTAAATGAGAGGAGCAGAGCTGCTGAAGTGGCCCTGGAGCTCACTGGGCCATCCCTGCCCACATCCACTCGCTGCTCACGTCCCGGCTCACTCACACTTCCTTGGAGACACTCCCTGGCACTCCTCCACCCGCTCCTGGAGCAGCCAGGGGGCAGTGCCAAAGGCCAGGGGGGCAATTCCCTTCCCAGAGTGCCCCCAGCTCCAGAGGGGCTCCCACGGGGGCTGTGCTGGCTCTGGGCACAGAGGGGCTCTCCAGGTTGCTCAGGGACAGTCTGGACCCACGCCTGGTGTCCCAGAGGGAAAACAGACTGAAACAACTCAGCACAACACCCATTTCCAGGAGCTGCTTGGGCAGAGGGAAACAGCAAAGACATGCTCGTGTCCCCTTGGAATGAATTTATTGTGGAGACTGCACCTGATGTTCTGAGGGAGAGGAATAGGAAAGGGTTTTATCTGTGTCCTCCTGGGCTGCCCCTGCATCCCTGGAAGTGTCCCAGGCCAGGCTGGACAGGGCTTGGAGCACCCAGGGATAGTGGATGGGGTCCTTGCCCATGGCAGGGCATGGAAGGAGATGCTCTTTAAGGTCCCTTCCCACCCAAATCATTCTGGGATGAATCCTCTGCTCTGATGAGGGACAGAGGTAGCCTTGAAAGAGAACAGTCCTGCTTGAAACAGGCCCCCAAAAGATATTAAAATGCACGGAAACCTGAAAAAAGAAAGGGAGCAGGGCAAGGTCCTGAATGCTTTATAAATAGCAGCAGAAAGCAGAGACATTTATCAGCGTCTCTCCCAGCCGAGCTGGCTCCTTGCCAGAAAGACAGAGCCAAAGGCATCAGTCCCTCACTCCCCTTCTGCTAATTGTAAATTCAAGTTTAATGCCAAGCCCACAGAATGCCAGACTGGACTGGTCTCTCAAGCAGAAAGCGAAATTATACATATTGCTCTGTCTGAAAGGAATTCCTCGGACAGAAGGGAAGGAAGAGGGGCCTGGAATAAGGCAGAATCATTGATATTCCAGGAGGGCTGAGACTGCCCAGACAGCTCCTGTGTGCTGCTGCAGGACAGGGAGGGGATTCCACACTCAGACAGAGCCACCATGACCCCACCTGACCCGGTTAGTTTGGAAAGCACAGGAATCCTCCCCAAAAGGTGCCACTGCCTGCCCTTGGGCACAGGGTGTTACACAACAGGAGGCCTCACAAAATTCTCTTCCCATCACTCTCACAGAAACACGCTGAGTTACTGAATCCATTTCTATTCAGGTTTTTTCCGGATGTTTTGCAGGAATTTGAGGCGTCTCCTCTCTCCTGTTGCACAAGGTGTGCACGGAGCCCTGAGCCCTCTCTGCCCCACAACTGGCAATTCTGCTCCCTACACACACACACACACATTTTTCCTGTAAGTCATTTTCCATAGAGGAAAGAGCCTGCAGGACACAGGAGCTTATGGGATGACACTTCCAGGTTGCAAGCAGCACATTCATTTAGTAAAGAAGCACCATTGACAGAGATTTCCCAAATCTTTTCCCACCCATGAGCTGCCCAGAGACTCCACTTCTGCATGTTCAAGGCACTTTGGAAACGCAGCATAGAAAAGTTTTATAAAAAGTTTTACTTGGAAAACAAGGAAGAACAATGACATAACTGCAGACAACAATAATAAAATTAACAAAATGCTAATGGCTATCCATTGCTTTGTCCTTGTTGATATAAAAAGTGTAACATCAGATCCAGTGTACAAATACAAAAAAAATTGTGCATAATAAATGTACTATAATACTGTACATACAGCATAAACCGTTCAATGAGAATGAATTAAATATACCTATTTGTCTCCTGGCTTGGAAGACAAAAGAATAAAATTCTAAAGTTCTAGAATCAGTGTATAAACCCATTCCAGGGCTGAATCACGAGCCAACGGTATCCCTGAAAATCAGCAGAGTCAAATATTCCCTTAATGGAAGCCATTATTCATGGGACTGCTGGTTATGATAAACTAGGGGAAAAAAACCACAGCATATCAACTGAGTCAACGTTAAATCCAGACCGAGTTCTTCCCATCTCCTGACTTGCTACTGGCACTGCTTTTGTTTGAGCCCGCTTTGGATTTCTTCCCTCTGGAGCTGCTGGGGTTGTTTTGGTTGTTGTAAGCCTGGATGGCAAGGTCCAGGCGGTCCTGAGCCACTTTGATTTCCCTCTGCAGGATCTCCAGGTCGGCGGGAATGTTCCCCTCGCTGCTGCCGTACTGCTGTTCCTGAGCTATGTTGGCTTTGTTCTGCCTGTAGGCCATCCTGGCATTGGACAGCTCCGTGCACTGCATCTGCTCCGGCTTCAGCGCGATGTTGTAGCCCGGGGGAGCTGAGGGTGTGTTCCAGGTGAAGGGGTAGTTGAAGGTCCCAGAGTCAACCAGCGCCTTCTTCTTGGCATTCAGCGTGTCCCTGATGGTGCCAAAGCCCAAGTGCAGCATCTCCCAGACGTTCAGGAGCAGACACATGCAGCTCACCCCGTACATTATCAGCAGGAAAATGGTCTTTTCGGTGGGCCTGGAGATGAAACAATCGACGTTGTGCGGGCAGGGCTTCCTGCTGCACACGAACACGGGGCTCACCTGGAAGCCGTACAGGAAGTACTGCCCCACCAGGAAGCCAACTTCAAACAGGGCCCTGGCCAGGAGCTGCAGCACGTAAATCCTCATGAGCCCGTCCTCCCGGATCTGCCGCCGCCCGTCGTGCTTGGCTTTGGCAGGGCTCTGCTTCTCTTTGCTCTCCCGGACGCTCTCCACCTCGATCTCTGGGTACATCATTGGGTCTTCCTCGTGGTCACCCTCAGCTTCCTCCAAGCCCCGGTGCTGTTTCCAGCGGATGGGCAAGCTCCTCCTCCTGGCTCTCCTGCTGGCTTCGCTGTGCTCCACCATCCGGGCGATCTTATGGATGGCGTAGCCTAAGTACAGCACGGAGGGAGTGGCCACAAGAATGATCTGGAACACCCAGAACCTGACGTGCGAGAGAGGGGCAAAGGAGTCGTAGCAGACGTTCTCGCAGCCAGGCTGCTCCGTGTTGCACACAAACTTGCTTTGTTCGTCATAATAAATGGATTCTCCTCCCACAGCAATTAGGACAATCCGAAACACAATCAACACTGTCAGCCAGATTTTGCCAACAAAGGTTGAGTGGTTCTGGATCTCCTCTAACAGGCGGGTCAGAAAACTCCAACTCATGGTGGTCAAATGAGTTTATCTAAAAAACAAACAGAACCCCCACACATTTATGAATTTATCAGCTCGAGCCTAAATGGTTCAAACTCAACCAAGAGAGTCTGAAAACTGCAGACTTTTACACCCAACACCCATCCATAACATGTGACCACCACCTGCTATCGGGATCCAGCTGCCAGAATTTGCTTGAAGATCCTACGTCTCCTCCGCAGGCTTTTGAGGAATCTGCTGTAAGAAAAAGTAGCAGTTCAGTATCATTGAATTTAAAAAGTGCTCCCAAAGCTACTCCCCAGCCCAAGACAGAAACATGGCTGCTCTGTATGTCATAGGTTGATAAAAACATTTGAAGTGGAAGCTGAAGACTCCAAAACACTGTGGATGGGAAGACAAGTGCCCATGAGATTTTTGGGTGCTGTTGGCCACATTCCACCACTGACAAGAGGATTTATTTTAATTTGTTAAAGCCTGGGTTAGTGATCACAGTCTCAGCCACAACCTACAGCAGACACAGTTGTGTCCAAGGGGAGCACCAGCTGTCCTAATTCAGGAAGGGATGGCCCAGCCCACCTGTGATGCAAAGGCAGGACAGGCTGGTGGTCTGAGCCGTGTCACCCTGCAGGGCCAGCCTAAGGACAGGGCTGGGCCAAGAAACTCCCAACTATGCTCGAACCATCCTGTGGATCAATTTGGGTCCAGCCTCTCTGGGAGGCTCCAAACCTTCCTCCCACAGGGTCAGAAAAGATTTCAATGTGGACTTTGTAGTGAAAACCTGGTTAGAAAGAGTCACCTGTCAAAACCTTTAGAAGAGTTCCCTCACAGCAGTGAGAGGTGGGTGGGTGAGGGGAGGAGGGACAGCGCTGGCAGGAGCTGAGCGAGCGCCGGAACTGCCGGGCCTGGCACAGCCTGCCAGAGACAGCTCTGCCAAATTCCAGCCTGCACATTCCAGGTTGCCCAGAGAAGCTGTGGCTGCCCCTGGATCCCTGGAAGTGTTCAAGTGTTCAAGGTTGGGCTGAGTTTGGAGCAACCTGGGGCAGTGGGAGGTGTCCCTGCCCATGGCAGGGGGTGGCACTGGATGGGCTACAAGGTCCTTCCAACCAAAACCATTCCAGGACTCCAGGATAAATTTGCAATCCCATCCTTGGAAACTCCAGTCTGGCAAAACTTTGAACAAACCCCAGCAATACTGCAGGCCCTCCTGGAGCTCCAAGGAGTGAAACTGGTAAAACATGGGAAGAACTGTTGGACACTGTTAGAGCAACGAGGGATGAGGCATCTTTAAAACTTTTGATGATGTCAAATATCAGTTTGACATAAAGATTGTTAAAAGAAATTATTACATCAGAAAAACATTTGGTGACAGATGCTGAACCAAGAACTGGACAAATCTCCAGCACTCTGATCTTAAAAGGGATTTATTATTGACCTGAAGAAATTCCAGGAGACTGGAGGAAAACTAGTACTTGGAACTCTTCAACTTCTTCCACGTAACTACAGAGTTGTTTATAGGCAAACCCATGAAATGTGAGGAGATGCATGCAATGCAGAGTTAAAGGATATCAGTGTGATCTCCCTCTGGTGGAATTCAGTGTTTCACTGAAAAGCCAAGAGCAGGGATATGGTGTGCAGAACATTTGATTTATCACTTCATGACAGTGGGAGAAAAAAATAGCACAGGAGAGTATTAAGAAAGGCCATATTAAGTGATCAGAAGTAACAAAAATCTTGACAAATGATTCCCACATTAAGTCCAAGATCAGTTCCATAATTACAGCAGTTCTGCAAATCCCTGGCAGGCAGGCTGATCTTCCCAAGCTCAGCTGAGGAGTGGCTGCTGACAAAATGGGCCCATGGGACACGAGTTTGCAGGCTGAGAACTGGAGATGAGAGTTACCAGTGGTACAGGAAAACATGGATTGCTGGGGAGGCTGAGGCCCCTGAAACAGCCCCACTGCCTGAACCACGCTCAGCGCAGCTCAGGACCAGCAGAGCAGGGTTTGTAACTGGGGGAGAGGCTGCTGTGGGTGTCAGCTAACGAGGCCCCTGCAGGATCAGGGTCTCGAGGAGAGCTGCTGAACAGTGCAGGTGATGGATTGAGCCCTGCAGCATCCAGGGGTTGATCTTACCTCCTTGTTAGCGAGACAGCCCTGGGCACCTGCGGCTGCATCCTTCAGCAGGGGCTCCAGCATCAGAGAGTGGCTACAGGAGGCTCAAAACCAGCTGAGGGACAGGGGAGATGCCTAAAAGTGAGTGATTTAGAAAGATCAATTTGTTTAGTTGGGAAACATAGGAGGAAAATGAAAGTGAATCCTGAACAACGAGTCAGGATCACCATGTGTCATCAAAATTACCAATTAGGACAAAAATGCCCAGCCCTCACTCAGGTGGATGGACAGGCCACCTGCACTCAGCCCTGAAGAAGGACATATTCAAATCAGATGTACTGTAAAATGTAGGCAAACCCAGTGGGAAGAAATGATGATGTCCGACTCCAATTCAGAAGGCTGAATGATTTCTTTATTATAACTATGCTATTATACACTAATATACTATATAAAGGAAGATACTAAAACTACATACAACTTTCTCTAACTACCATATCTAACTCCCTCCCAGCTTGTGACCCTGCTCTCGAGAGTCCAGCCACAGGTGGGCTGGATTGGCCATCAGGCTCAAACAATCCTCACTAAAATCCAATCAAGCAATCACCCGAGGTAAAGAATTCTCCAAACACATTCCACATGAGGAAAACAAGCAGCAGAAATAGAAATTGTTTTCTCTTCTCTCTGTGCACCTCTATGAAAAATCCTGAGAAAGAGAGAAAGGTCTCTGTGACACAGATGTGTTCCATAGATAACAGCTATTAGAGGTGCTTGCAATCCTCCCAAGGCTTCCATCCCAGCTCCCCTTCAACACAACCCTGCTGAAATAACACTTTTAACAGGCAAAGAGACCAGAGGTTCCAGTCCCAGAGCAGCCCCTTCCTGCAGCAAGGGCTTGGCACCCCCATTTCAGAAAGGCACCCAAGAGCAGCTCGGGATGAGAGTGCTTCAGACACCCCACACTCAGCATTTCCCACTCGGATTTGGGGTCCAGATGAAGGGCACGTGAATCTGGGCATCCTGAGAAGGACAATGGGCAGCAAAGGCAGGTGAACCCCACATCTGGAACAGCAGGTTAACAGAGGGGAGGAGCCCCAGCAGCTCTCTCTCACCACACTGCTCTGCCCATCTCATCACCCTGGGCACTGACAGGACAGGCACGTCCCCACTGACACCCTGTGATTCATCAACTAAAGAAGAGACAAAACCCAAAGGAGTTTAAGAGGTTAATTCTTATTCGCTGAAAATGTCAGGGTCACATTTTTCACTGAAAGTAAACTACTAAGTAAATTTGAAATTAATTAAAAACTGATGCCAATGTAAATTTGGAGTAACAGCAGGAACCAGCCTTTAAATTTTCATATACTGTCACATTCCTCAGGAGTTAAGGACAGGGAAGTTTGAAATGAGTGTAAATTTCAGTAAGAGAATCTTTACTTTCAGACAAGCTGCTACCTCCCATCTAAGAAATTTCTTCAAGGTACATGATAGCTTTTCATAGTGCATTTTCTACTTGCAGACAGGTAGCAACAACAATCCTGTGATTCCAACCTGAATTCCACCAGTTGTATCAATGCACAGAGTGCCAGACCTATGTACCCACAGCCCTGGGATGCAGGAGGACTTACCCAACCTGTGGTTAACAACCAGGACCTGCCAATTAGTGGGTCCTGGCTGTGGAGCTCTGAAGCTGCCCAAGAGCTGATTCTCTTTGCCATGAAAATGTCACTTTGTCTATTTAGTCCTAGTCCTGAGCAGAGCTGCTGGGACAAACATGGGAGGACCCATAAACAAGCAAAGAACTTCCTGGTCTTTGAGGAAATGTTTTGGTTCAAGCAAAATGACAGTCATTAAGTCTTGGAAAGGTTCAGCCCATCCAAATTCAATGCAGTACAAACCCAAGAACTTCCAAGTGGAATTCTGGTGGTGTCCCTGCGTTCTGTGGGATCAGCCAAGGTTAGAGGGGCACGTTCTGCCTCTCCTCCACGTGCTGCAGCACCCAGACACATCACAGCAACCTTCACCCAGCGTACACCCACGCTCCTGCATCTGCTGTTTCTGGCAACATTTAACTCAATAATTTTCCAATGTTTCAAAGAAAAGTCTATGGACACTGACACGCAGCTGAGAAAGGCAGAATGTCAGCAATTTCAGCTAATTTAAGTCATGCCAGAAAGTGCATTTGAGAGAGACTTTCATGTCTTGTATTTGTCATAAGTTCATTTCAGCACTTCCAGCGGAGGAGGCTCCTTGGAGCAGGCAGGATCCATGATGAAATATCAGGGGGCTTATCTCTGACAGTGGGCTGGCTCCTGAATTAAAGCTTTGCAGGCGCTGACATCCAGAGATAATGAAGAATTTGGAGCAGGTACATGGGAAAAAAGAAATCAGCTTCAGATGAAGAATTTCTGGAGTTAACACAGCTGTTGTTCACATACAGCTAGGGAATGACCCCTCAAGTGTATTCTCTCAGGGAATAGCACTCTCCTCTACCCAGCCCATGGGGGTTTAAATATTAAATTTAAACATTTTAACATTTAAATTTCCACCTCCTTTCAGCTTTCTCCTCAAACAGCAATGACCTCCTGCCACTCAGGGTGGGAAGAACTGCACCATGGAGCAGCAGTTACTGTAAAACGCTCAAAATCCAGCCCTTGGACAGGACAGCTGAGGTGTGGCAGGAAAAGCAGCGGGGCAGGAGGAAGCTGCAATGCTCCAGCAGTGTCCCCATTCCCCCGAGATGGAGGGCACCTGCAGGGCAGGACAGCCAGCACCAGCTGGGGGACAAGGCAGCCTCATTCTGGGCTCTTGAATCCCAAAAACCTTCGGAACCATCTCCTGGCCCTGCCTCGGCACAGACTGGGCCCATCCCAGTACAAACTGGAGCCCCTTGACTCCATCCCAGTACAAACTGGAGCCCCTTGACTCTATCCCAGTACAAACTGGAGCCCCTTGGCTCCATCCCAGCACAAACTGGAGCCCCTTGACTCTATCCCAGCACAAACTGGAGCCCCTTGACTCTATCCCAGTACAAACTGGAGCCCCTTGACTCCATCCCAGTACAAACTGGAGACCCTTGACTCCATCCCAGTAGAAACTGGAGCCCCTTGACTCCATCCCAGTACAAACTGGAGACCCTTTACTCTATCCCAGTACAAACTGGAGCCCCTTGACTCTATCCCAGGACAAACTGGAGCCCTTTGGCTCTATCCCAGTACAAACTGCAGCCCCTTGACTCAATCCCAGCACAAACTGGAGCCCCTTGACTCTATCCCAGTACAAACTGGAGCCCCTTGACTCTATCCCAGCACAAACTGGAGCCCCTTGGCTCCATCCCAGTAGAAACTGGAGACCCTTGACTCTATCCCAGTACAAACTGGAGCCCCTTGACACTATCCCAGCACAAACTGGAGCCCCTTTACTCTATCCCAGTACAAACTGGAGCCCCTTGACTCTATCCCAGCACAAACTGGAGACCCTTGGCTCCAGCCCAGTACAAACTGGAGCCCCTTGACTCTATCCCAGTACAAACTGGAGCCCCTTGACTCTATCCCAGTACAAACTGGAGCCCCTTGACTCCAGCCCAGCACAAACTGGAGCCCCTTTACTCTATCCCAGTACAAACTGGAGCCCCTTGACTCTATCCCAGTACAAACTGGAGCCCCTTTACTCTATCCCAGCACAAACTGGAGCCCCTTGACTCTATCCCAGCACAAACTGGAGACCCTTGGCTCCAGCCCAGTACAAACTGGAGCCCCTTGACTCTATCCCAGTACAAACTGGAGCCCCTTGACTCTATCCCAGTACAAACTGGAGCCCCTTGGCTCCAGCCCAGCACAAACTGGAGCCCCTTGACTCCATCCCAGCACAAACTGGAGCCCCTTGACTCCATCCTAGCACAAACTGGAGCCCTTTGACTCTATCCCAGTACAAACTGGAACCCCTTGACTCTATCCCAATACAAACTGGAGCCCCTTGGCTCCATCCCAGTAGAAACTGGAGCCCCTTGACTCCATCCCAGCACAAACTGGAGCCCCTTGACTCCATCCCAGCACAAACTGGAGCCCCTTGACTCTATCCCAGCACAAACTGGAGCCCCTTGACTCCATCCCAGCACAAACTGGAGCCCCTTGGCTCTATCCCAGTACAAACTGGAGCCCCTTGACTCTATCCCAGTACAAACTGGCAGCTCCAGCCCAAAGCACCTGAGCATGAGGGTGCAGGGAGTGTTGGTTTGGTTCAGCACTGGGCAGCCTGTGAGGATCATGGAGCTGGACTGGATGATCCATGTGAATCCTGTCCAAAAGACTTTTTTCCTCCCTAAATTATGTATTCCCAGGTCACACTAATGAAATCTGATTAATTTATTAATGATTTATTTGTTTTGTCTTGTTTTTAAGCAGTTTTAAAAGACATGTGCTGAGCAGGAATAAAAGAAGAAATGCATGGAAATTCTGTTGTTAATCAAAAGAGGTTTCATGCTGCATGAAAGTGAAATTTTGCCCACGGGCTAATTAAAATAGTATTTGAATTAGGATGAATGAATAATGCTAATTATTCATTCAGGTCTCATTTACATTGAAAAGTAAGAAATTACATGATTTACAAGTACTTTTGAGGAAGCAGAGAGGTTCCTTTTTTTTTATTTTATTTTTTTAACCTGGAAAATGAGTAAGACTTCATTGCTCAAGGAAGCAGAGAGCCAGGGCCAGACCCAGCACTGGAATGGTGCCAACACATCCTGAATCCTGGTGAGCACTGTGCTGATGCCACCTGCATTCCCTGAGCAGCAATTCCAGTGTCCACTGTCCTGAGTGACACAAGAGCAAGGATGTGGGGATAACCCTGGGTTAAGAGAACTCACAGCTATCACCCTTCTATCCTCCTTGAAGGAAGTGGGTTCAATCACCATCAATTTTACTCCTATTTTCAGCAATTAAGATGAAAAGGAGTAAGAAGAGCGCACTGAATTTTATTTTTAATCTTATAGAATACTTGGGAAGGAAAAGGCTGGGACTTTTTGGAGAGCACACAGTGCACTTTCAAATAAATCCTCTGTCATCTGGCAGGGCTCACGAGGCAACAGCAGAGAATGGTTTGGAAAAAGCCACAATGTCAATGTCAATTTGGAAACCATT